GTCTGAAATGATCTAACTGCTGAGCATCCACATTTCAAAGGATAGCAGTGTCATTTAAATGTGAGCGTGGTTTGTTTGTTGCTCATTCCTGCCAAAATCTTTCTAGGAACAGGATATAAAAAAAACCTGCTTGGTGACTTGTTCTTTCTGTTTGGATTTTCTGTTTAATTACAGCTTGTTTGATTGCTCTTTTGCTCTCACTAGGAAGATGGAGTACATTTTCCCCCCTTTCCTGCATCTCTCTTTTTTTTTATGGGCGCACAGCTTGGAGGTAGGATAGGAATACTCATCAGGTGAATCAACTGGAGGATGAGATATTTAGGTTGTCCTTTGGAACAGAAACTACTGCTTTTTATCTTAGGAAATGACATAGGCATCAAATACATCAATTTCTTTTTTATGCCAGGCTTGAATGAGCACATGAGTGGAGCTCACAGTGTTCTCCATAAATCCCATTATCAATAGCCATTTTTTAGATGTTCACTGTAACTCCTTGCCTGGTTCACACTAGATGTTTTCTGTGCTTTCAGTTACTTAGCATAGCACATTCATGACAAGACCATCATTTTTCTGTCTCATCCATGAAGTTTTTAATAACACATCCCAACTGCAGGGATCTTTGTGTGCTTCTTCTAACAGTTGGGGTGAGAAACAATTGAGGTAGTTCCTAGGGGGGAATATTTATGTTGGCATAAACCAGTGCTGCTGCTGAAGATCCCAGCTTCTTTTTTCTCCTCAGTATTTCACTTCCCGTAGAATAATTGCATCCTTAAGGTTGGAAAAGACCACTGAGTCATCTAGTTCAACTGTTCAACCCATCTCCACCAAGCCCACTAGCCATAGGCCTCTGTCCATGTCCAGCATCAGTGACTGCCAGCTCCCTGGGCAGCCTTTGCAATGCATCACTACTCTTTCTGAGAACATTTTTTTCCTAAAATCCAACCATTCCAACCGATCCAATGGAGAACTTACCTTTGGTTGCAACTAACATGGATGTCGTGGTGTTTGCCACCCCAAACTGCTCATGGGCCTTCAGATTTGTGCACACAAAAATAGAAAATAGCGAAGTTGTTTGAACTGTGGTCCCTTGTCTGTTTGGGTGCTCTGGTCCTGATCCCTCCAGCTGGCAGTGGAGGAGATTGGAACATCACAGAATTGCTCAGCTTGGAAAGGACCTTCAGGATGGTAGAAGCTGACTGATATTTGCTTGCCATTAAATTGCTAACATAGGGTGCTACTACACACGTATCAGTTTTATATGATTGAATATGGTGAGCTAGTAGAAGAGGTGGGAGATACTCATGATCCCATTGATCTCAACTGCCCGCATGCTTAGCATGGTTTTATTTGACAGTGAAGTCCTACCATGCTGAGGTCACAGCAGTCCTGTCATCTGAAATCAGCCAAGGGAGAAAGACAGAAAGGTGCAAACTGTTCATGGAAATACTTGCCCAGTTTATCTTTGGATTCACTTTTTTTTTCTTTCACATACCACAGCAAGTTAGCATAGTAAAAGGGTTTACTGGTATGACTGGGAGGACCTGTTTGTATTTGCAAAGCATGCAAACTGCCAGCTGCTTTTGCATCCCAAAATGTTGCTTCTTGCTCCCTTCCCCCTGCTCCTCCAGGCCCAGGGCCTTGTGCTGCTTTTTCTGTTTTCCTCCATTATTTCTTCTGGTTTCATTCAGCTAGGAGTGGGTTAATTTTGGCAGGGAAGATGACAGGAGGTCAGGTGAGGTTGTGTGGGGAGGTGTTGATGGGCAGCCACAGCCAGCTGTATGCTGGTGCTGAAGCTGAGGCTTTTCTAAGCAGGTGACAGGTCTTCCCTGTGTTCCTATTTCTTCTTCTCCATTGAGATTTTTTCTGTCTTTTCCAAGTTTATTAGCAATAACTGATGGAGGGAACACTCCCTGAAATGCTGGGATGGATGATGTTCAGAAGATGTTTGCTGATGCCCAGACAGGGGCATGCCTTCCAGGAAAGTGCAGGACTTGACAGAATTGCCTGAACTGCACCAGAAGTCCAAAAATTCTGTACCCAATGACTCATTCTTTCTGACTCATTTCTTCTTCCCATGATAAATCTATATTTTTGAATATCTAGCAGATGGCCGTGGCTTAATTTTACAAGTTTTCCTAAAACAGGCATTTTTTCTTTTAAAATAGCACACTTTTTCGTTAGCCTTGCACTTGGAGTCCTAAGTCTTCTCTACCACTGAAGTGTACTCTGTCAAGTTGGGCCTCATGATTTTAGGGAGCTACTATATTGCTTTGCAGAGAAACCAATGCTTTTTGAACATCTGGGTATGTCATTCACATGTTGGTGTACACTGTCACACTATTTTGGCAATAGCTTTAGCAGAAATGACTGTTCTTCAAGGAAGATTGCATGAATTTTTCCTTCCTTATGTGAAACTTAAGAAAAGTGAATGAGTGATTACCCAGGAGTAATTGCATCTTACGTTCATTATTTTCAATCTATTCCAAGTAGGATCAGAGGAGTATTGTAAAAATGATCCTTATCAATGTCTCTCTTCCTGGAACTTCATCTTCTGAGCACAGGTAAGCAAGTTTGAAGCCATGCAGGTCCAGTGTGTTGCTGAGATGATCTGGTTTGCTGGTGCACTTCCCCTTGTTTCCAATTGGGTGCTCTGCCTACGGATGGATCTTCCATCACTCTTCAGCCTTCCTAACACCTCCTCTCTCCATGAAGACTGTTACAGTGCACTAAAAAAACAGAAGTGATGATAAATACATGTATAAAGGGTTCAAAATGCTGTGAAGTTTCTTTGTGAAAGTAACTGTGTGAGTACATCACCAAGATCCCAGAAGTGCAGGACCTGAAATGCTAAAACCTTGGGAAAGGAGTGAGGTGGCAGTAGGTGCTGCCCAAGGACGAATGTACCAAAGCACTTTCCAGGGTCTGAATTTCCCATTTCTTCTGAGGCAAAGACTTTCTGGTGACTGGGAATTTGATTATTCAGAACAAATCAGTCGTGCTTCCTTAAGCCAGGATTCCAATCAATACGTACCTATGAAGAGAGATTTGATTAAAAAGAAGAAAGAAAAAAAAAAGCAGAACAGAAGCTTTGATCCAGCAAGGTTTTGAATATTCTGGCTCAGTTCCACGTTACACAAACACAAGCTGAGGTTTAATTGTATGAGTTGCCTTTGATAGAATTGCTCATGTGTATAAAGTGCTTTGGGCTTAATTTTGTTGGTGCCAAGTGCTCAGCATCCATTGGGGTTAAGACCTTTTGATCTCATTCTTTTTAAGATATGTGGTGGTTTAAAGTTGTGAAATGCACCAATTTTGGGGAGAATCAAGGAGGAGATGTGTGAAGTTTCTTCAGTGTGCAGTGGTAATGGAAACAATAGTAACTGAGTGAAAGAGAAGAGGTCTGGACTGGCCTGGAGTTGTTGCCTGAGAATTGCTTAGGTTTACAGGAGGTCTCTTTATGGCTACCAGGCTGATTCTTTCTGTATTTTAATGGGAACTGTGGTTGTGTATTAACTTGCTGGCTGCAAACCAGCAGCGGTGATCTTCTGAAATTAAAGCAAGCATCTTCAACAAACTGATGCTTTACCAACTCACACTCACCTGAAAACAGAGGCATTTGAAAGACAGGCATCAGTGAGGTGAAATCAAGTCAAATAATGGAAGGATTCACAAAGAGACTCAAAGATTGAAAAGACCAGGAAAAGAAGTATCTCAGTAACGTCTGCTTTAGAATGAAGGTGTTTTATGTCCCAGCTCTTTATCATGTGTCAAAGAATACTGCTGAATGAGCAGAAAAACGTAAGTAAGATCATAAGAGTTCTTAATTCAGCTCTTCAGGTGTGTGTGCAGAGCTGAACAAAAACGCTTTCACAAAATGAAGGGGTATGCAAACAGCATCACAGCATCTAAGAAAGGAGTAAAAATTTCACTTCCTTAAGCTCTTCTCAACAGACTGTGAGACAGCTCTCTCCATTGGGCACGTGTAGTTGCATTCATAATTATCATTCACCTCTTTTTTTTCAAGTTAGAAAAGTTTCCCGCTGCTAAAATTGATGTTCTGCACATTTGCCACTTGGTGGTGCCAGATTGATTTACAAATCACGGATGTGAGGCGAGGTGTCGAAGCTGTGTTTGAGAAGTGTGTAGTAAGCTATAATTCAGATGGGAAGCATTGATTTTGTGCCTGCACTCGTGCAGCTGTGCTTAGCAGCGCTTCTGGCCTCCATCCCTCGCTCTTCAAATCTTGGGTTCCTCTCTCTGTCCGTCCAGCACAAAGGAGTTTAAATAGATAGCAAGGTTGTATCCGTGAGGATAAAATTTCTAGAACATTTCTCCCATAGCTTGCATCCAGCCAAAAATAGTTGGGATTCAGCGATATTCCAGGCATGGCACAGATACCTTCTGCATTTCTGGAGGCAGCTGCAGGTGTGCTGCTGGCAGTCAGGAGGTGTTGTGTCTGTAGATGTTTGACTGACATTGGTCCCGTGCAGTTTTTAGTTTAACACTGCCAACAGTTTGGCGTATTTGTCATTGAGGTAGAATTCCTGGTTCAACGAAGGACGAATGATGGTTGGTTGGAGCCTTCCTGGCTCAACACAGGAAGGGCAATGATCATCGTAGATGTAAATCTAAACAAAAAGAGCTATGCAACTACTTTCATCCTGCTGTTGTTATTTTATCACAGAATCACCAAGTTTGGAAAGGACCTACAAGATCATCCAGTCCAACCATTCACCCATCACCAACAGTTCTCACTAAACCATATCTCAAAACACAACGTCCAAACGTTCCTTGAACACCTCCAGGATTGGTGACTCCACCACCTCCCTGGGCAGCCCATTCCAGTGCCTGAGAGTTACAGAGCTGCTCCTAGCAGACTTGAAGTTACTATGTTTTATTACAATTTCTGTTTTTCACTGTGTTATCAGTGTTTAGCATTGAAGTGTATTTGCACCAGGCTTCATAACTTCTTTTTTTTTTTCTCTCTCTCAATGCTGCAGTTCCAAAAGAATTGGTGGAGCTTCACTTGAAACTGATGAGAAAGATTGGGAAGTCTGTCACAGCAGACAGATGGGAAAAATATTTGATCAAGGTACAATATGCATGTTGTATTATTCTGCACTGCTGGAATATGCTTATGATGAGCTGTTGTGTCAGCAATCCCTGGTATGAATTATAGTGAGCCTTGGGCTCTGCTGTGGCCAACACCGATGTGCATGCCCAGACTTCAGTTGCATAAGATCCCAGCTTAACTTTCAGGCTGCCTAGACTTGTACAAAAATCTCTAAAAATAAACGTTATCTCCTGCATGTATACGAGTGTGCACCTTCATGCTTGCTAGAAACAAACTTTCTGAGCATTAAGGCTTTCAGTGTAGAAGCAGATTTAATAGCCTGCAAACAGACTACATTGAGCAGGGAAATTAACATGGTAACTATTCATTTTAAAATAAGTTGGTTGAGAGTAACCATACAGAGCTCTTGTACCATGTGCTAATATTAAATGAGAACATTGCAGTGATTTAGATCAGCATGCTCACAACGGTACAGCTAAGATAAAATCAGTATAACATCAGTAAAGATAGAACATCCCATTTTTTTTACCTAATTCTATCTATGGCTGTGCCTTTGTTGCTACCTTACGTGTGAATAGTTTTTATTTCAAACAATTTACACTGCTTCAGAAAATAAAAACAGACAATGCTCAAAATTTGGAGTTTGGCACTCTGGATACCTTATTCCTCATGCCAAAATGTAGTCTTAGAGTCATCACAGAATCACTGAATGGTTTGGGATGGAAGAGACCTCTGAGATCATCTGGTTCCAACCCTGCTGCCATGGGCAGTGTTACCAGCATTAGGTCAGGTTCCCCAGGACCCCATCCAACCTGTGCTCAGTATTGTCTGCACAACCACAATTGCATCTGTCTTAGAAATGCAGCATTGTGGTGATGGCAGCAAAGCAAATAATGATGTTAGCAGATCCAGTCCCAGTTTGCCCCCCTTAGTGCTATCTATCAAATTTACTGGGGTAGGAGATTGCCTTGAGGTTTGTGTAAAATAGACTTAAAATAATGATGTATGTGAGACCACCAGGGCTGTGTCAAGAAATAGCCTGCTGAAGGGCCTAAGGTGAGATCTGACCTCTTCACCAGCTGTAAAGCATTTATGATGCTGTTTTGAGCTAACAGTGTGATGTGTGCACCTTCTGTGTGTTCACGTATCGCCAAGTACTGTGAATACTGCATTGTATTCAATCCATTAACATACCCAAAAGCCATTCCAGCAAGCTGTGGAAACCTAACCCTGAGCAGGGGGCATATAAATCCCACTGAAGCAGTTGTATGGTAAGCAGAAAACGGGGAGAAAGCAAGTTTATGAGGGAATAGTCTGGAAAATCCTCCTTCAGCATGGAGGGAGAGTGCTGAGGAAACCTTTCCACCTGCCCCTGTTGAGACCAAGCAAGCAGTAATAACTTCTTCTTCATTTAACTTGATACTTATTCTAGCCAGTGGTTCAAAGGAATCTCGAGAACAAAGGAATTTGAATATAACTAATGAGAGAGGTATGCTAATATGGCCCCCATTTCAAAAGGGTGTAATTAGTTTAGAAAAACAAGGAAGAGCTCTGGGAAATGTCCCAAAAGCCAGGAAAAATGGAAAGCATGTGGAACTATTGAGAGTGTTCTTGGGAGATACCTGCAGTGTTCTTAACTAGGAATTGAACACTGCAGTTGAAAGCTCTTTCCCTTGTATGTCCTGGTGGGGAACCACCCAGTTTTGCCTCACCAGCCTACATACTGCTCTTTTTGGAAGCAAATGGCTGTAGGGTTTCAGGGTCTGAATTTCTCCAGTAGGAAGCATGGTTGTGTATGAGTGAAGGGAAGAAAGGGTTTGTCCTGCATGTTTTAACAGCTGAGAGGAACTGGCCAGCTTAGCTGCTTTGGGAAGCGTGTAACTGAATTCATTCAGACTGCTCTGTCTCCCAGCAGAATGCTTTCACTGGCTCTTGTCAAACATATTTTGTGTTTTTGTACAGATACAATTTCTCTGGGCTGGAGAATTCAAAGCCTTCAGCACTGACCACACCGTTCTGCCCCAGTTGTTCAGAGTTGAGGGCTTGATAGTCCCACGTAGGCAGACTCCTCTGCTATGTTTGTCACCTTCCTCTTTTCATTGATTGCAGTGAAAGTGTGGAGTGAGCTTATAGGAAGTGTTGGATGCTGCTGTAGCTGCTTTGAAAATGTCTGAGAGACGTCCTGACATCTTTTTGGCAGGGTAGGGAGCTACTGACTGCTCTTCAGTGTGGAGAAAGCAGCTGTTCCCATGAGCAGCAGGCTTTTGTTTGGTGTGAAATGTCCTTTCTGTGAAGTCAGAGACTGATATTGAGACAGTGTCCATGTCAGTGGGATCTGTAGTTCAGGGCTGTGACAGTGCTTGTCAGTAGAAAGCGTGATCATCTGGTTTTTGATTGTCAAAATGTAGTCATTTCAGTCTGAACAGATGCTTTATCAACTCGTATGTCTCTTGAGTTGTTGCTTTGACAGTCAGTCATACGCTTCTGAAGCACATGAAACTTCTCATTATTGCTTTCATACTTAATGAGCAAGCAATGAGCAGTGAGTGGCTCTTGCCCTGAGCAGGGGTTTGATGTACATTTGCCCAGAGTTCTTTGTGTTCCAGTATTGAAAATGAAGGAGAAAGCAGAATAAGCTTGTTTAGTGCTTGAGGAACAATTGCTTCTCTTGCTGTGAGCTTTGTGCCAGAGGAGGACCTGTGTTAATGCCTTAGCCTCAGATTAGGAAAAACTGCTCCTTAGCACAATTCCTTGTTATCAGAGCACATCTTCACCATTCCCATAGGTCACAGAGTCAGAGTGTGATTTATGGTGTGGCTGAGCCAACCCAATTGCAAGCTGATGCCAACAAGCATGGTCCCACGTTTCCCCTTCTTGGTGCTCTTGAAGCTTACCCCAGAGCGAGCCAGTTTAGGCAACAGAGCCAGCAGAAAAGCAGCTCTCCATAACAAAAAGAAGTAGCTTTCTGCTATTTTACCTGCTTTAACTAACTTACACTTAGGCCAGTGAAGAACTCGTGTCAGTACTGTGAGTAGTGTGGCCGTGGGGACAGAGGAGGGAGAACACCTCTTTGGTTGTAGCCCACGCTGAGTTGTACAGTACATCTAGTGAGGAAATTTAGTGTCATTTTTCCTTCTGTTTCCAGAGAAAGCTGCTTTCATATGTGGTTTCCAAGTTGTTCAGTAGCTTAGTGATAACATCATTTGTTTGAGAATTTGGTGAGTGGCAGACTATTGAGTTCTGATTGAGTTTGCTCAGCAGAGCTTTGGCTCCTTGTGGACTGGAGTGCACAGGATGTGCTGATTTGGATGGCTGTGATTCAGGGGTGGCACTTCAAAGTATTCTCAACTGGAGATGTGGCTGTGCTAAACTCCTGCCTCCTTCTGATGGTATTCCCACCTGAACAGGTTGGAGTTCTCACTGCTGCAGCTTTGATTGAGAGCTCCTGCTGTGTTTTTCCTTTCCATGAGTTCTTTTAAGCACATTTGACTCCTTCAGGGAGGAGAGGGAATTCCTTCTGTGCTGCTGTTATTGGAGGTTCCTGTGATTCAGTCTCCATCCTTTCTTGCTGCTTTTTTCATGTTCTGTGCTTTTTTCCTCTTGAATGCATGGAACTTACTTGCTTTTAGTAAATTGAGGCTGGCTGCACTTAAAATATTTTAAAATATCTTAAAATATTTATCAAATGACTCAAGGGCCAAGCTATTATGCCCGATAATTCCACAACAAAGAGTGTAAGTCTCATTTATCTGCAGTTGTAGGACAGCAGGATCCCAAGGGGTCTCAGCAACTGATGTGCTAAGTGCTGTAAAGATATGCTAAGAAATCACATCTTCTCAACAGAATTTATTTTCTAAATATACAGAAAAATGGAAGCTTTTGCATAGCAAAGATGAGAATAACTTCACAGATCAGAGTTGTGCTGCCAAACGTAAGAGTTTTAAAGTAGCTGGTGTCAGGGTCTCAGTGATATATTCTTCCATGGAGTTTTGCCAGTGCTTTCTGGCCTATCCTAGTTTTCATTTTTGTTCAAGACTTTTTGACTTACAATCCTGACAACATCACGTATAATTTTAGTGCAGTAAGGTACTACTAATATAAAAGTTGAAAGTTACTTTTATTCACTAAGCCTACTCATCTCAGTATTTTCTTTGTGACAGATCTGCCAAGAATTCAACAGCACTTGGGCTTGGGAGATGGAAAAAAAAGGATACCTAGAAATGAGCGTCGAATGCAAACTGGGGATTCTGAAGGTATGCATTCAACTAAGTTTCTGATTGTCTTTTTCCTTACTCACTTGGATATCTTAGAGATTTGACTTTCTCACTCACTGAAGCATCTTGCAGATTTCCCTTGGCTGACCCATACCTGGACGTATTCAATCTGGAGCTGATCTTGGAACAGGACTGTTGTTCTTTGTAGTGGGACAGGCCCAAACAACATCATGCTTACTGTTCTTATTTATACTTCCACATATTATTTTTCTTTATGTTTTATGTGGAAAGAATGTTCTAACATTCTTTCCACTTTCTCATTTTTTTCAGTATCTCTGTGAATGTCAATTTGATGACAATCTGAAGTTTAAAAATATAATTAATGAGGAGGATGCTGATGCCATGCGCCTTCAGCCTATTGGTCGAGACAAGGATGGACTGATGTATTGGTATCAGCTGGACCAGGAGCATAATGTCAGGATGTACATAGAAGAACAGGATGACCAGGATGGATCCACATGGAAGTGCATTGTTAGGTATTCCTTTTTTTTTTTCCTCCCTTTTTTTCCCAGTGTTTTGTAGGGTGAGATTCTTGTGGTTATGTGTGACTGGAGTTCGGAAATTCATTTCACTCAGTCTCCATTTCTCACTTACAGTGGGATTTTCTGCCTGCAAATATGTGATTTAATGAAAAAATAGTCCAGAAATATCTCACAGAATTGTACATGGTAGCTAATGACTTCTGTGCTCAATTAAGCTACAAAGGATATATGGAAAGGGTGCCGAGAGAAAATTGTTTTGAGGACAGTGCCTCCATGCTGCCTCCTGTCACACTTCTTCCCTTTGGAGATGGAGGGAAACTGTTCCATCTGTAACTTCTGTCCTAAGAAGACAATTATAAGTGGACAGTTCTGTTCTTATGAGGATTACGTTGCGATTTGAACTTCATGGAAGTAAAAGCATTGCTGACCATCCCAATGGGTACTGAGCCCTTCCTGGAGCAGAATTCAGCTCATAGATAACTCAAGTTGAGGTACATGATGGTGATGCAGAGTGACATGTGCATGACTCAGTGCCCCTGGGTCTCTGTTGCTTCATGTTTGGTCTGATAATATTTTAGTGATAGTTTAGCCTCAGACTTATGGATTTTTGTGATTTAGGTTAAATACTTTGTCGTATCCCTCTTTATGCACAGGATGCATGGACGTTAATAGAAAAATGATTAGTTCTACATATATACCTATATTTCGTATCTAAAACAGTTATCTGTTTTTAGTTCATCTCAATGTAAACCTATTTTTCTTTTGACTAATTAATTGCAAGAGGATTTTAAACTGGGCCCAGCAGCATCAACTCTGACTAAATTAATACATCGAGGTGTAAGAATAGATCTAAAGAAGTTACATAATGTATATTATTTTTATTCTTCTGTTTGTATATTTTAATTTCCATAATTTTAATCTACATTTTTAATTTTCATGTTTATAAATAAATATAAATTTAATTTGTATAGCTTACTTAAATATCCAAAGCTCAGTGTCCAGGTTAGTCATACGGAATGTTTTAAACCACTGTCAAAGGGCCATAAAGTGATAAGCCTTACCACCACTGAAATTGAGACAGCTGTTGTGGGTGAATAAAGGAAATGCATCTAAACAAGTCAACCAGTTGCTGAACAGCATTTATCATTTTCCTACATTCTGGACTCCAGGGATCAATGCCAAAAGCAGAGGAAATGGGACTTCCTCTGGGCAAGTTCTGACACTCATACTTACTGCAGAAAAACACAGTAATGCATGATGACATCTGAGATCCTTTTAAACCTGTGTAATTCTGTGTGTCAGGCTTGATGCACTTCCAGCTTTTTTTTTTCTTTCTTTTTTTTCATTGAATCTAGTGGTTGAATGTTGACTTTGGAAAAGGAAATGTGAGAGTCTTGTGATTCTTGTCTGTTTTGAAAATAAAGAACCTGTTTAATCAACACTCAAACTCATTATCTGTTAAGGTTTTGGTTTTTCTAGTTAGATATCCAGTGCAAGGAGTTAAAGTGCACTGATGTTCAAGCACATAGAGATACACAAATAGCCAGAGCCCTCTGGACATCTCTATATTGTTTTCTAAGCACGTTAAGAAGAAATTGCAAAGAGATTCAGTGAGAACTGGTAAAAGAAGGATAAATAGATAAAAAATAATGAATGGTAGCAGCTTGGATCCAGAATAACGGGACTTGAGTCTGGATAGATAACGCCCTGCAAAACGAAGTGATTTGGTTGTGATGTGGAGAAGTTGGAAGATTTCTGAATGCAAAATTGCAGCTGCTCTGGTAGGACAGGCATTTCACTGGGCTCGTGTGTAAGGTTTTCAGGGCAGTGTTCATTTAAACAGATGGTGTTTGTTTATTTTTAATGAATCCCTCTGGGGTGAGTGAGTAAGTGGCTTATCAGACAATATGTTTTTTCTTCCATCATCCAGAAACAGAAATGAGCTTGCCGAGACCCTTGAGCTCCTGAAAGCACAAATTGATCCTGCCCTGCTGAAAAACAATTCTCAGCAGGAGAATTCATCACGTGAAAGCCCAAGTATAGAAGATGAAGACACCAAAAAGGGTGAAGAAGCATCTACACAAGGTTTTCTGCCTTTTCTCACATTTTAAATGTTGTGCTGTGGCAGTGTCAGAATTTTCAACTTGATTAAAAGTTACTGTTTTAGATTAGGACTCTTTGAAACAATCAAAGACCATTTCTGTTCATAGTAAATCAAGTGAGCACTGATAAATATTACTTTTTTTTTTATAGTGCATCTTTAGGTGCAAGTTATTTATGAAAAGAGAGATATGTATAAATTGTTCTCCAATTAATTTTATTCATGCTGTACATTTTGTATAGTATTGTAAATATGCCATTGTATGTTTTTGTGGAGTACCCAACTGTTGCCCAACTTTTCCTGTTCTATTAACATTAAAATTTCAAAAAGAAAAAAAACCACAACTTTGTGCAATGCCATGATTGAAGTCAATACAATCTGTGTATGTTATTTATTTTTACTTTTAAGTTTGAATCAGAAATACAGGCTTTTTCCTCACAATCTTGAAGAAGGCATGAGCTTATGTTGAAACAATTTGAAATCCAAAAATATTTATACATTAAGTGGTCGTGAGCTGCCTCCACCATGTTATTTTTGCTAGTAAAGAATCCATTTTCCTTCCTTATTATCATGTCATTGCACATATTAAATATCTTGCCTGACTTGGTGGTTTGTGCATTGGTTTTACTTAGTATCAACCTGAAATATTTTGTTACAAGATTTTTCTTAGGTTATGAGAAGCTAAAAGCTTGTTATCCCAAGTAATTTTACCCTGGTTACTACCCTAATGTTAGCATTTGGTTAAGCTACAGGAAAGCAGTTGCTCAATCAGAAACAAGAGTTAAGATTCCAGTGTTAATGTGTGTTTCTTCAAATCTGTGTAATTAATCTGTTAGCTGGAGAGGAGCTCTGCACAGAAGGAGCTGGGGGTCCTGGTGGACAGCAGGTTGGCCATGAGCCGGCAGTGTAACCTTTGTGGCCAAGAAGGTCAATGGGATCCAGGGGTGCATTAAAAAGAGTGTGGCCAGCAGGTCAAGGGAGGTGATCCTCCTCCTCTACTCTGCCCTGCTGAGGCCACATTTAGACTGCTGTATCCAGTTCTGGGCTCCCCAGTTCAAAAGTCAGGGATCTCCTGGAAGGAGTCCAGAGGAGGGCCACAAAAATGAGAGAGGGCCTGGAGCACCGCCCGTATGAGGAAAGGCTGAGTAACCTGGGTATGTGCAGAAGACGACCGAGAGGAGATCTGATAAATGTTTATAAGTATCTGAAGGGAGGTGGGAGGTAAGTAGATGAGGTCAGGCTCTTCTTGGTGGTGTGTAGCAATAGGACAAGGAGTAATGGCCTAAAACTTGAACATAGGAAGTTCCATACTAACATGTGGAAGAAGTTCTTTACAGTAAGGGTGATGGAGCCCTGGAACAGATTGTTCAGAGAGATGGTGGAGTCTCCTTCTATGGAGATATTCAAGATCCATCCATCCACCTACCATTGCCACCTACTGTAGGGAACTTGCTTTAGCAGGGGAATGGACTCAGTGATCTCTTGAGGTCCCTCCCAACCTGTGCCATTCTGTGGTTCTGCAGTTTAACTGGATATACAAAGTTAGCAAGATCTGTCCTGGTTCTCAATATCAAAGAGAAATGCTTCTCGTTCCTATTCTTCACAACAAACATTGTAGAATGGAAGAAGTAAATGAAACGGTTAGATAAGTATAAGTTGAGTTTGGAAGTGTTAAAAGACAAGTGCAGAAATCGCAGTAAATTGTGATGAACACTGAGAGAATTGTCTCCATCTAAGACCAGTATCTACCTTTGCATGCATGTGACAACACAATCTATCTGGTTACTGATACTGCAGAATTTATTCTAGAGTGCTGATCTTGCTTTTGTCTGACTAAGAATTAGTCAGGTCAGCTTAAGTAACGTAATCGAGACCTCCTTTTGGAATATGATTTTACTTAAGTCAAAATAATTCATTTTATAACATCTTAACTAAAATCTCCGCTGTAGGCAAGTCCCAAAGTCCTTTTGCACACTCCAGTGTCACCAAAGTCACTGGCTCTGCTGCCATGCAGGATCATTCTTAGGCACTAGTCCCACAGACCTAATGATTAATGACATTATTTATATATGCTGTGATTTAATTGCAGCCAACATACTCACAGAGCAGCACTTTGATCAATTAAGTTTAATAATTCTTCCTATTAGTCATCAAACTGTTCTCAAGTTCTAGGAATACATAAAAGCCCTTCAAAGGTTCTATGAAAATTTATCAGAAGGACTGAAAGCTGCTTTGACAGCTTTCCAAATAGCATTAAAGTTGTTCCTTCAAAAATAAATGGATCCAGTTCTTGCTTTTTGTTTTGTTTTGTTTTTAACCTAGCCTTCTTAACTTGAATTGCTGTAAGACAGTTCGTGCACCTGCTGAGTCACTGTGGCATATCAAGTGCTTTTTGAGCAGCTGAGAGAGTTAGAAAGTAGATCTTAGCACAGCCATTGCTTTATTAGCACAGGAAGAGATTTGGGGTTCTGGTGATGTTAGTTTGGGAAAAAGCAGTTGATGATAGGAAGAAATGGTTCATGTAAGTCAATCCAGAAAGATGTGAAGAGAAGGTGGAAGGATACATGCATGGTGAATGTGTCACTGACAAATGCTGACAAATGTCTTTAGAGAGGTGGCTTTAATGTTACAAGAGCTCAGAGTGGTGATTACCTCTATGAAGGGAGAAACAAGCATCCTTCAGCCTTCAAAGTGTTATTGCTTCTGGTTGCATCTATTGCATCTGGAGATGCATCTTGCACCCTTTGCTACTTGCTGAGGCTTATTTGGGTATGTTCTTTGTATTTAGAAACATTCTAAAATATATGACTTGCTTCTTCACCACTCTTTTCTTTTGTAAAATGTTTATTTTCTCTAAATGTAATTAATTCACGTTCTTGCCTTTCATGTTGGTAATCACTTTGGGAAGTTCTCAGCTTGGAAAAGAATCACACCAGTGTGGAGGGAGAGGGGAGAGGTAGAAGACAGAAAACATGGCTTTGTTGGGAGTTATGGCACCTGTTCTGCAGCATCTTCCAGATGGTAGAAGATGCTGTTACACTATCTGTACTGCATCATCTTTGCTTTTTCTAATTAGCTCTGTCCCTACCTGACTCAAAAAGCACGGCAAAATAAAACACCTGAGATGTTAAGTAGCTTCAGCGATGATAAATAATTGTATGAAATACAGAGCAACAGAATAAATGCATGGGTTCTTCTGAGTGCTGTAACTATACTTTGGGCCCCATTAATTCAAAACTGCTTGAGCAAAGCAGGCATGATCTAATCTTTTAAGCTCTGCAGGATTTTCTGGTGCATGTTTGTCTTAGAAATGGCAAATGAAGTGAATGTAGAATATAATCTGTTACATGTGTTTTGACTGTACACAGAAGATGTAGTCACTGCCCAGGAATAGAGAATCCAGGTGAATTTCCTGTTGGTTGTGTTCTCCCCCCCCCAAAACGCTGAAATACAACAGTTAGATGTTTCTTGAAATAAAAGTGTACAAACAGGGAACTGATTGATGTGAGTACCAGATTCATGGGAAGAGCTCTGAGTCTCCTGAACAGCCTGACCTGGTGGGTGGCAGCCCTGCCTGTGGCAGGGGATTGGAACTCTGTGATCTTTATGGTCCCTTCCACCTTATGGTTCGGTGTGTAGGATTTGAAGAGCAGGGGATCTTGCAGCATGGTCTGGGTTGTGAAAAAAACTCAGACACTCAAGAGAGATTTCTTGAAAGTTGATCCTCCTTGCACGCTGTGCTTAGGTTTTCTGTATCTGTCCTCTGGAGGCGTTGTATTACAACTGAAGAGGGAATTGAAGTGGATAGGAGGATAAGTATAGAATTCTGCTAAAAGCATCTGAAATTTAGGTTTATCTCGGCTAGTAATTAAGCCAAATGGTGATTCTGTAGCTAAAAATTGGCAACCTCCTTGCTTAATGACAGCTTGAGACAAGCCAGGCTCCTAATAATTCCAGGAAAGAGTATTTATTTGCAGGGAGCTTTGGGTTGTTGACTTTTCTAGATACGCCTTCATTTTGAAGGATACTGTTTGTAATCCTATAGGTCCCCTGGTTGTTTCATCACTGTTTTTCTCTGTCAACAGAAAACCAATTAAAAATCAAAGAAGAAAAAGACGAGGTAGAGGAACAGTCAAAGGAATTGGAAAGTCTTCCACTTCCTGTGGTCAAAGAGGATGAAAACATGATGAAAATAGAGAAGGCTGAAGAAAAAGAAATTATAAAATTGCCAGTAATAGTAAAATTAGAGAAGCCTTCGGAATACAACGAAGAGAAACAAACTGTCAAAGAAGAAAGTGACTCCTTTAAAGAAAATGTCAAGCCTGTTAAAGCAGAGGTGAAGGAAAACAAAATAGAACCAAAAGACCTAAAGGAAGTAAAAAGTTCTACTGACAAAATAGCAGTTCATGAGCCCGAGAGGTTAGAATTTTGTGTTAATGTCAAAACTCCCCAGGAAATTGTGGAGAAATCTGTAGAAGAAAGCGAGAAACTTAAAAATGACCAGCAGGCAAAAATACCCCTTAAAAAGCGAGAGATCAAGCTGACAGATGACTATGACAGTCCTATAAAGGGGTCCCTGTGTAAATGTGTGACTCCAACGAAGGATGTCTTGAAGGAAGAGGGGAAACCAGAAGAAGAAACTTTTAAGAGAGTCCCTACAATTACTGCTTTATGTCCCGATGGGAAAGTGCTGGTAAATGGAGAGGTTAGCAGTGAAAAAATAACCCCAAGTGTCATACAAAATAATAGGTCTGAGCACTCGGTTGGTACAAAGGAAGACAGCAGCTCATTAAAAGAGAAAAACGGTAAAAGTGGGGAAAAGGTATCAGACCCCCTAAATTCTGTTAGTAAAATTATAAAAGCATGTGAGGTTGAGAAAAATGCAGTAACTGTGGTGAAAGAGCTAGGAGCTGTGGTCTCTGAGGTTTCAAATCAGAAAGTGCCTTTAAAGGAGGAATCTAGTCCCGTGGAGAAAGAGAACCTTGACAGTCCAGCTACTGAGATGGTAGTGGAAGAATCTTCAAACTCTGAAGACTGTGCCAAAAAATCCGAAGAGAAACTAGCCACCATAATCCAAAAGGACAGACTGCCACCCAAAGAATGTTTAGAGAAGCTGGAGAAGCCCACAGATGCATCTGCTCCTGCAGAACTGCCCAAGCCTGCGCCGTCTGAGGAAGAAACCTTGGAAAGCAGAAGCGAGCCTGAGGAGAAACCTGATTCTCCCAAAGCTGCTGAGACACCTCCTCCATCTTCTTCTCCTTTGACTTTAGAGAAGCCTGTTTTGGAAGGGGAGGGCTCTGATGCTAAACCTGCTCTCCTTGAGGAGAGCCAAGGAGAAGAAAAATCCAGCCCTGAAAAACCAGAGGAAGAGCCTGAAGCTGCCAAGCCAGAGCCAGAGGGATTAGACGATGCCCATGCGTCCAACCTAGAGAACTCCTCCGAGAGTAAAAAGGATTCCCCAACACCTAAAAGCAAATTTAAGTATAAACTAGTTTCTGAAGAAGAAAGCTGCACAACAGATAATAAAGAAATAACTTCTGAAAGACAGAAAGAAGGGATTAAATTAACTATCAGGATCTCCAGTAGGAAGAGAAAGGCAGAAACACCGCCAGAAGACGTCACTGCTGGCCGCACGTTAAGGAGATCCCCAAGGATATCTAAGCCTACTCCGAAAGTTGCGGAGACTCGGGATCAGAAATCTGACAAAAAACGATCTGAAGAGGAAGAGGAGAAACCTGCACATAAGCAGGAAAGAAAAGAAGATGCAAAAAAACAGGAGAAGGAGTCAAATTCTAAGGTTAACAAGGTAATATAGTTTTACTGTCTGGCGTTGCCGCAGTCTTTCCTAATAGGAGTATATGTGTTTACATAAGAATGTTAAGGATTACTTCCCTTTGGTCAGCCTGGAGCTAGATTTGCAGTCTGGTTAGTGGATTCAACCAGGTTAAAACCACCCCCTAAGAGAGTGCTAATATCTGTTGACTTAGCAGCTTCTAACATTTTTCATGTAAGCCAAACAAAAAAGACCAAACCAGTTCAAGTGAGTTCTTTTAAAACATGACATGATCAGACCTGACTCAGTCTGTGTGGCTGAATGGAGGCTTCCATTCTTCCAATGGAGAAAATGCTGTGGATTTTCTGGGTGGATGCTTGCTGGTGTCTGGCTGGCCAGTTTGAGAATGAGCGTAAGCAAAGAAACAAATATTATGACTTCTTACACTTGGGATACATAATTTGCTCTGGGCAGAGGTGTCTTTTTCATACAAAAAGTTAAATGTGCATCTGTACAGTGCTTGTAAATCAATGTAATGATCAACAGCTTTATTCATTTAACTTCCTGATGTTTCTGGATGTGCAATGCCAAAGAAAAGCAAGGAGGAAAAAGCAGCCTGTATTTTCAAGTATGCTCTTTTCTATCAATTTGAAATCCTCTTCATATTTCACTCCTGTGCATTTCCTTATTGTTCCTCTAGTTTTACCAACACACGCACATACTCAGCAAGTTCTGAATAACCTTCATAAAATGAACAGTTTTACTGATTATCTATCTTTTTTTTTCTTCTTGAAGAGGTTCTTTAAAGATAGATTCAAAATAAAGATGACGTATGATGAAGCCTCAAATTAAATTAATTCTCTCATGGATTTAAAGTACAGTTTTCTATTAAAGTTTAGTGAATAATGACATCACTAAAGAGACAGAAGTTAATGATAAGAACCTGAAATGAAATTTTACCAGTATGATGTATTGCTGCGGTGTGAGTGTGTCCTGCAGAATGTGTTGTACAGTTTGGTTAGATAGCTGGTTCAGAACAGCGAGTAACCTGGTCATAAATGAGAAGTGTTTTGAGCTGAAAAACCTAGGGAGGGTATTTTCCTTTTTCAATTTCTGGAGGGTAAAAAGTATTTGTGAGAACTTGAATTTTTGGTATATTATTGTGAAGTTAAAATGGCCTGGTTGTAGGAAGTACTTTTAACTAATGCAAAATGGGATTCTGAATTGTAATTGGAATTCTGTTTTTCATCCAAAATGTATCTTAAACAAATGTCTGATAAAACTTAACACTTCACGTAGTAAATGAGAGAAGTCATTTTTCCAGTCCTTAAAATAAATAAATGTCCAAATAAGTCACTGGTAAGACATGTGGTTATTTTATTAAGGTAGGTATGATATAAAGGGGTGAATGCCCTTTTCAACTAGCATCTGATGAATCGTTTTTTTACTTATGAAAAAGAATGGAAAAGTGTAAATGTGAAAGCAGACTGTGCCCTTACATGGTACACTGATTTTCTTTCAGAAAACTCTGCCTGTCATAAAAGAGAGCTTCAAAAACACTGAAATTAATGTACTTGTTAGAGTGTAAGCATGTTTCCTAAAGCAAAACGAAAGAGATGAAGTGCATGTTAGAAAAGAAAAAAAGCCAACTATACGTATACATATATTCAGTTTGGATTATGGAGAACTATCATAAAAAAACATCAAATGTGGAATTCACCATGTTCACAAGAAGGCCTCAGTCACTGATCTGTCTTTGTGGTCTGAGATCTCATTTGAAAATTTCTCTGCAGGTAGATATGTAGTTTTCTCCCTTTAGTATCCTGTTGAACTTCAGGGCTCATTGAAGGTGTCTGTTCCTTGAAATGTTCTCTTGTGAAATTATTGCAACTGTTCTGATTGAGATGAATCACTTTACTGTAGAGAAAAATATCTTTTAGGATCTGGAAAGAAACTGTAAGTTTCCTTTGTGTTTTCTCTTTGAAATGGTATCACTCAGAGGAGCAAAGTTCGGTGGACAGGTACACGAACACGTGGCAGGTGGAAATACTCAAGCAATGAAGAAAGTGAAGGCTCAGAGAGTGAAAAAAACTCTGATGATGAGGAAGAAGAGGAAGAAGAGGAGGAAGAAGAAGCTGCACCTGCTGACGATGATGAACCGTGCAAGAAGTGTGGCCTTCCCAACCACCCTGAGCTGGTAGGCTTTGGGGGAAACCTTCTGAGTGATTCAGGCAGTTCTGGTTGATCAGAGGAGTGTCTGAAGGTACACCTTTGATACACCAGTCTTTGCGGTGGCCGTGTGTAGAAGCTCAACAAGCTTTCAGTGCTTCTGATGTTTATGGTCCTGGTTCATCACTGGTACGTACTGTCATAGATTCTTCTTATTAGAAGAATATACAGCCTTGCACTGAGCATATTCTCAGGTGTGTGAAAGATATCCCAGCACGGTTGAGACAGTTAGAATGTTAGAGATGTGTATTCCACCAGCTGGTCACACAGTTTATGTGAGCATTATTGCTCAGTTTTAGTGGAAATAGCTTTCCCAACTAAGGAGGAATCGCAGTAGTTGGTTCTGCATACCCCAGAGAGTCAGTGAGTCTGTCTTTGCCACCCTGGACATAAGAACACCCCAGCTGAGGAAACTGCCTAAGATTGCTGTGCTTCCCTTCTGGCCTGCATGGCCAGGTTTCCTTCATGTGGATGTAAGTGCACAGGGAAAACAGTTCCCACCACATCTTGTCCAGATGTAGTTTTCTACTTAGTCCAGGGTCTGGAAAGCATTACAGGATTCCATAGTACGTGTATGCAGTCTGTGTAATCCAGTAGTGCTGAGTTGCCTGAGAATACAACGCAAGATGAAATCTGGTGCTAAAGTGGAAAACTGTGATACATAAACTTGCTCATAAAAACCACCCGTGGCCTTGGAAACATCCAGTGATAAGTGATACAGGATTTTTTTTGGTTTTGGCACAGTCCAAAGTATTTATGAAGTGCTTCTGTGTTGGCAAGGAAAACAGTTCTGGAGCTTGTTACACGTTGCGAATGCCAAAAGATATTCATGATTTGTTTTGTTTCAACAGATTTTGTTATGTGACTCCTGTGACAGTGGATACCATACAGCTTGCCTTCGCCCTCCTTTGATGATAATCCCTGATGGAGAATGGTTCTGCCCACCTTGCCAGCACGTATGGTTCCTGTTCCCCTTCACTTTCAGCATTGTGGTTGTGGAAATTTGTTGGGAGTTTAACAGTTTCTTTCTTTCATCTTTTTTTTTTTTGTTACAAAGCAGACTGTGATGCATTGTAGAGATGCTGATCTTCCCCCTTAGCCATTAGTAAAACTGTTTTATGAGGTGGTTTTCCTTTCCATTTCTTTCTTCTGTTAGTGACAAATACTGCATGTTGCTGTTTTTTTCTTATGCTAAGCAACTTAAAGAATAACGTAGCATTAACAGTATAAAATCATAATTTTATCCTAAGAAGCATCACATTGTCATCCAGGAGGGGGAAGCATAGAGTCATAGAATTTCCTGAGTTGGAAGGGAGCCTTAAGGATCAAGTCCAGCAAGGAATAATCAGGGATCAAAGCAAGCAGCTGTTTCTGAAGTACTGTTCCTCCTTCAGAGACATTTGCTAAGAAGCTGGTAAAGAGAGCTGCCATTTCTGGTTAGCATCTCCTAGAAAACCAAATGTTTTCCCTGCTGAGTAATAGACAGGTATGAGCACTTTCACAAAGGTTACAAGCTGCTTCTTAAAAAAAAAAAAAAAAGGTTAAAAAAATGTGCATATGTCTTGTTTAATTTTAAGTACATCTAAATAGCAGGAATTGCAGTGGTGATGCTTGGAAGGATAAGCCAGAGAGAGTGCAGTGCTGTTCCTGCTAAATGAATGGGGAAGATCTCTGATCTTCCTTTCTTTTAGATGACTCCTTTGTCAAAATGGCTGTTGCTCTGCAAAATGCTTGCCACCTTGACCTGGTGTGACACAGCTGTATTGTGCATTGGCTTTCAGTTGTCTTCTGAGAAGTAGTTTGGGTTAAGTAGTCGTGATCTTGAATCGCGAGAATGTTCAAGAATGTTTTCTTCCTTAAACAATTTCTTATTGCTGCTTGCAGTTAAGTCATCTCCTTGCTTGGTTGCTGTTTAGTAATTTTTAACATGAAAAATCACAGATTTGTGCAACTGTGATGATGATCATCCTTGGAAATAGTGTGATGAGGTATGGACATGAAACAAGGCACAGCTTGTCCATAAAAAGTCATTGTTCCACATGGCTCCTGGATTATTAAATGGCATTCTATATTATGGAATATTTGGTTAAAAATATTTGGAACCTTTTATCTATGGTGTCTATAGACTCACATCTCTCCAAAGGTTAAGATAAATACCAGATAGCACTGTTAACACAACTATGTGTTCGTATGTTGCCATGAATAAATAATGCACAAAGCGTCTGAGCAGGAGATGGAAACAGTTCTGAAAGAAACTAATCCTGTGTTTCATTCCCTTAGAAATTACTCTGTGAGAAATTAGAAGAACAGTTACAAGATCTGGACGTCGTCTTAAAAAAGAAGGAGCGTGCAGAACGCAGGTACTGCTGTAGGGCTGTGTTCACAGCACACTGACTGTACGTGCATTGAGGGAAACTGGAGCCCAGCCCAGTTTTGTCTTCACACTGATTAGTGGTTATTGGTGGTGCAGTGCTGGGAGGGCTTACAGGAAAGGTGGAAAAGTCCAATAATTAGAAAAGAAAAATAGCTTGCAATGAACTTGGGTCAAGGTGTCAGGAGGTGATTTTGGCTTTCCCACAGCTGTACTTCAATGGTTTTCAGCACTGGTTCAGCTGCATGTTATTAGTACTGTCATCCACGTGTAAATATCCTGCTGACAGCAAGGTTAAGCTCTGCTTTTGGTATAAAGGTAATCCAGGTTAGTGTGGATTTAGTTTCTGAATCTTGTTGCTTTAGTTTCTGTTAAACTTTACCTGTTTTACAAGATGGTGCAGTTGCCATAGTGCATCTGAGTCACAGCTTTGGCTGACATTTTGCATTCACTCCAGCCATTTCCAAAGGCTCAGTGCAAACCAGTCTGCTGTGTTTGTGGGCAGCATCCTTAGTGCTTGAACATCCTACCTGCAGTTTTCAGATCTGGTAAAGAGGGACATGAAACAGAATTTGCATAATATACAGCTTGTGTGTTGAGCACTCTGTAACGTTCAGTGACATCTGTATGCATTATTAAGCACAATTTTGCATTAATTGTATCTTAAAAGGCAAAATTCACCTGAAGATGAGACGTCTTTAAATACAGTAATAAGGCAGGTTTATATTTGTAGCATGACACTGACACCACATGAGATACAGTGATCTGGTGCTTGCGAGAGTGGAGCAGAGTCCATGTTTGTGTTCAGCCTCTGTCAGCCCTCCTGTCTGTGATTGCTGTTGTAGCAGCAACAGTGACAGTGGCAGGTCAGGTACCAACTGTTCTCAGCTTCTGCTCAGAGTGGATCTAGTAAAATTCACTATAGTGAAATTACCCTTGGTTTGCCAATTAGTGAATTTGTAGCTGTGAGAACAAAGCAATTAGCTGATTTTGTGAGTGAGCTCAGCTTACAAACAGCCTCCATCTGTGCAGGAGTGTGGAACGCAGAAGAACTGTATCTGCTGCTCTGTTTTATGGTGGGAAATCTCATTGCTAGTGAACAATATTTTTGGTCTTACTTTGGTAAATATTCTGCTGGCAACCATTACTTGGAATGCAGTTTTTTTCCATCCTGTCGTACTTCTTTGAACTCAGTGGTATTGCATGGGAATGTGGCTTTCTAACTGTTACAGGAGAGCACACAGTCAATACAGTAGCAGTCTTCAGTGTCTGAAACAGATGTTTCACAACCATTTTGCAATCTGATCCTCATTCCAAATTAACCTAATGTTTTCTGTTGTAAAGGTTTCCTTTAGAAAGAGAGAAGTGAGTTTGGGTTGTAAAGATTTTGTGATACACTAATTGAATATCGAAGTTTTTCAGCCTAATGGTGGTGTATTTTAGTAAATTGCCAGGTGAGAAGGCTGAAGAGAGCATGAGTTGTGATGCTAGAGGAAATGATAGTCTGCTCTTTTTTATTGTTGTGTAAATTACAGTTGGTTGTTTGGGGCACAGGAACACTTTAATGTTTCTATAAGATCACAGAGTATCTCTTGTCTGTTTTGCTGGGGAGGAGAACAACTGTCTGTCTCACCATGGGCACTCACACTTAACAGCTTCTTGTACTGTTATCAGATTCAGTGTTGGTTTTTGAACAGGTGACACTGCTGTGCTTGTGCAGTTATTCCCAACCTTTCAGGAATCTGACTAAAATTGATTCAGCTGTTCAGCTGTGTTCTTACATATCCCCAAAGTGCCACAGATGTTCAGTGAAAACTTTTCAGTTTTGTGACGACTCTGACAAATAACTACACCAAAGTCATGCCTTTATTTTTCTCCCCTTCCTGACCTGGGGATGCTGCTGCAGCAGCCTGGCTGAATTTCAGGTGTCTGCACTTAAACTCCCGTAGTCATATGCTATGACAAGCCAGAATAGGCATCAGAGCTGTTCTGGATGCCACTTTTAATCTTACTAGAGACTCTCAGACTTCTTTATAGAAAATCCTACTGGGGATTCTCTACTTCTTGCAGGCCACGTCAGGCAGAGCACTTCCTTTCATGTACTCCTAGCTTCCCTGTAGCAGTGTTTTCTAGGTCCTTATGTGTTTGTAAAGAGTTGGGGCCCATCAGCGTCCAACAGTTCCAAACCTGTTGGTGAAGATGTTTACACTGTTGGATGGTGTTACTGAAGTGTTAGTGAGTGCCTAAGCAAGGGGAGGTAAAGCAGATCTCAGAACCTTCGTGGATCATGCTTAAAAACAGCTGAATTTTTCTCATGCCTCCCATTTCTTCACGCTTTGCATTAAAAGAAATGAGAAATGGAAGAGACCATCAAAGACATTCACTGTATATTAAAATGTTTTTATTTGTAGTTCCTTTCTGATTTTAGGAGTTGCATTCCTTTCCTCAAGGTGCTACTTGATCGCATTTTTAGAACACAGTGACTTTGCAAAGGGTAAAATTTCCTCCTCATCCAATTAATCTCATTGGTGCTCAGGATGGACGTTTCTTTTGGTCTGTCACTTTGGAGAGGTGATATTAGGAGGCACAAACAAATACTTTAATAGAAAACCAACATTTTCTATTTAGATATGATACGGAGTTGTCAAAGCTTATGGTCTTTTTGGCTTTAAAATAACCTAAAATCTATTTGTACTCTCCGTTAGTATTACTTTAGGAACTATATGTGTTTGTGGTATTTAATTAAAAAAATACGATGCTGGATTCTTTCAGTAGATAGTTCTCCAGAAGATTGTTGTGTAAAAATATACAGTGCAGAAGGCTGCTGAGAAAACTACTTTAAAATCGACATAGATTCATTCCAAATTAATCAAAGTATTGGAAACCAAATTTTTACTCATAGATGCCTGTAATTATTTGCACAAAATGATGCACATTTGAAGCAGAGGTGTTGGGTCATAGAATCCTAGAATGGCTTGGCTTGGAAGGGCCCTCCAAGATCATGTGGTTCCAAAACCTTGCTGCAGGCTGTGTTGGTCAGGTTGCCCAGTCACTAGCTGAGGTCACCCAGGGCCCCATCTAACCTGGCTATTAACGCCTCCAGGGATGAAGGGCAATTGGGTAGAGGTGTGGATGACTTGTGTGCATCCTGTTGCAGTCTGTTGTAATGGGGTGTGTGCTCAGTGCAGCTACGCAGGGTAACTGCAGAAGTTGATTAATGCAGAATCTTTATCTCAGAAAATCAGGAATTTAAAGTTTAGCATTGGTTCGTGCATGATTTCATTTCAACCGTGGTGACGCTTCACCAGATCTTGAAAGCTGGAGGTCTTCTGGCAAATGACTCGTTCATACCTTGTTCCTGCTGCAGCTGTGTTCTAAATCACTTTTATTCAAAATAATAGTAAAATCTATAGAGGTATTGATCACTTTCAGAGTCCTTGCAGGTTCACCAGCTTTCTTCGTTACTTTCATTTATTTAAATTATCTCTTATGTTCATGGAAAAGGTTACAGATTGCCTACTTAGGCCAAAGATCAGAACCCAGTGATGTTGGAGAGGTGCTAGGATGTCTGAGGCATCTTGGGGCAGACAGATGTTCCACTGGAGCAGCAAGCAAAGGCCAGGAGCCAGACATGGCAATTCAGTTGGCAGTGGATGCTTGCTAAGCAGAGCTTGCTGCTACTGCCTGAGCTCAGTTTTACTTTGATTGAATCCTGTGAGCTGCTGTGGACCATAAGGGCAGCCTACTTTTCCTTACAGTAGTTTTTCTTATATTTGAGCACTGTTCTCTCTCCTGGTTCTCTGGACCAGGTGTCCATGCTTCTTCAGCTTTTCCTGCACTCCAGTAATTCCTACCAGCTCATCATAGAATGTCTTCATTATCCTGCAGGCTGTTCTCTTGCCCATGCATCCTTCAACCACCGTGCATCTTCAGACTCCGTTCTTTGTGAGGACTCTTTGGAAATCACTTACCATATTCATACAGGAAAATATAATCCCGTGGGATTTAATATGTAATTCCAAGAGTAATAACTTTTCAGTTGGTGCATCCTCCTGGGATGGTTATGGTGCTAACTGCAGTGTTATTTTGGATATCTGCAGTCTTTCTGTGAGCTTATTTTCTTTTTTCTCTCCTAAAGAAAAGAGCGACTGGTGTACGTGGGTATCAGCATTGAGAACATCATTCCCCCACAGGTAAGTTACTGTGTCTGTGTTGTATTATTCTTTTATTGTCTACACTTCTCAAGGAAGAAGGTTCTGAACGGCATGTTAGAAGAGTATCTTGGAAAGAAAGATGAGTGTATTTGTAGGACAGAAACAATTCCAGAGTCTTCCTTTTAGTCTGAACTTGAGTTTAGCGGAGGGGCTTTGGGACCCTCCATCAGTGAAGAATCTCAGAATCAACTTCTCCCATCAAAATTGGGATGTCAGTAGAATCCATTGGCATTCTGTGAGTTAGAAGGGTAGGTATTCAGTTTCATTAACTCTGGTATCCATGTCTGAGCCGGAGCCACAGCCTTCCTTTAGAAGCGATGGAGGGAGATGAGTGTTTTCTGGCTTTTGATAGGGGTGAGAGGTATGGGAGGTACTTCCCTCCCAGAGATGCATATTGAAGTTACATTTGATGAAAAACTATCAACGTTTTGTGTTTTAGTAACAAATGCTCCCATGTGATTTGACTTTACAGAAAAGGAGAAAATAAATCTTTTTGTTGATGTGGAGACTGTCCTTTTCTCACTTCTTGAATACATTTTCAAGTGAATTTCTTCATGTCAGTCAGATGCCTTCATCCAAAATTATGTCATCTCTTCTTCCATGAGAGTTTAAAACAAAACTTCTGTTTAGGTATAGACTTTCCTCTCTGACAGTAAGAAAGCCAGCTTTCTCCCTCTGTCTCTGGATAGCAGATAAATGGTAACAGATTTTGCAGACTTGCAAGAGACTCTGTGGCTGAGAGTCTGAAACTCAACCCAGGCACGGATTTTTAAGAAATGAATAAATTGGAAAGAACGTCATAAAATTAAACTGTGTGGATTCCATCAAAGCTGCACCATGTAAAGGCATTTGTAGTGGCTCACACCAAAGCCAGCCCCTGCACAAGACACCCATGCTGTTGGCTGTACGGGTCAAAGAACGGTGTGGTGGCACAGGGGCAGAGTCAATGTACACAGAGACTTACCTGAGCAGTTTGTTCAGCTTTGCTGCATTTACAGGTGCTGGGAGCATCACCTGGCTGCTGTAGCATTAACACAGTGGTGCAGTGGGACCTTTGAGTGACGTGTCTGTGTGTGGTGTGAGCACAGGCATGAGAAATCTGGAGGGAGTGAAGAGAACTTCTTGATACTTCTGTCTTATGTCAGCAGGAGCCAGAAATCCCTGAAGGTCAAGAAGAAAAAAAGAAAGATTCCAAAAAGCACAAATCAAAGCTGCTTGAAAGGAGGTCTACCAGAACCCGGAAATGCATAAGCTACAGGTAGGCAGCTTGTTTAAACAGCTTATAAAAATAAAGCATACCATCATTTTCCTTCTCATTCATTCAACCTCCTGCTTCTCATGCACACTTTCACATTTAAAAGAGAGGCCAAATTAAAGTGTCTGTGTTGTTTCCTCTGAATACCAGTTATGCTGGATGTTTGTGAAACAGAGGTGCTTATTACTTTGTATACTGAAAATGGGATGCATAAGAAGTTAAAACACATGGGGTGCTTTGTTCAGCAATGCTGGAGAAAAAAATGGTGTTATTGCAGCTCCAGCTTGAAGTTAAAGCAAGTGGATTACACTCCTGCTTTCTGTTGTAAGGAAAAACTTTTGCTTCTCTCTAAAGGCCTGCAGTTTCCATCTCTTTTTTTCCTCTTTGGGGACTGGAGAAGAGAACTGCTGCCTAAGAGCTTGTGTTTTTTGTCCCAGCTGCATTGGGAATATAAGGAGTCCTGCCTTTCCCACAGTGCTTGTTCTTTGTAGACCCTTATAATAAACAAGAACGTTACAACTTCCAAAATTTTCCAGCAAATAACCATGGTTAAACTCAGTCTGGTTGTGCCATTGAGGAGAGATGTGACCTTTGTGTTGGGTTTTCAACCTGCTCAACAAACTCATTCTGACCTTACTTAGCTATTGAGTTTCTGTAACTTTAAAATTAACAGCAGAAGCCACACTAACAAAAATGTCATTTCTGGCTTGTGAAGTGAAGTATTTCTATAAGGAACGTGATGCCAGGGACACAGATAGATTTGCTGCTATGTCTGTAGCAGGTCAGGCAGCAGCTGGCCACAAGTCTTACCTGTAGGATATCTGGCATGACTTCAGCAGGACACACATTATAGAGAGGCAATAACTGTTGTTGGAAATAATGTTTATTGTAATGTTGCTCCTGAAAATCAGTCTGTGATAGAAAATGGCAGTCTGTCTCACAGCCTGCATCACACACGTAACTTTGAGCTGGAGAAAGCACTGCACGTGTCAGTGTGTCACTTCAAATCTGTGTGTCTGCAGTGAAGTCCTATTAGTGTCAGTGAGAACTGTGCGTGCTTTCCTTCCGAGGGGGAAAATAAATGCTAAATGTCTCGTTCTGCTTACAGACAAATCTGTATTGTGTAGCACTCTGGTTCTCTGAAGACAGGTTAGTTCCTTTTTTTGTCATCTGTGCTTTCCTTTTGTGAGAAGGTTAGCAAAACCCTGCTTTCTGAATACAGCAGCAGCAGTAGAAATGGTGTGCCATTACAGCTAATTGACAAGCAGTTGTCAGCCCATGTTGGGTTTCAGGTTATTTGTGATTTGAGAGCATTAAGTGATTTCTCACATTTTAAAGGTTTTTTTTTAGAGCTCTAGAGGGAAAACAGTGTTTGAGTAATGTGGGACAAGTCTTATTGATGGAATAATTTCAGACTTACTTCCTTACTGTGTAAAGCTGCCTTCAACATGACATACAGCTGTTCTCAGGATATACAGAAAGACCAGCAATCAATCACCTCATTTTAAAAGGTGTTTTATGGCTGCTGTTGGCTTATAGAGTCATACCAGATCTGTTCTTGTCTTCTTCTGCTGGAGGTTACAATGGAGGATGGAGATAAACATACCTGTAATCTTTCTTTAGTGCCTGGCAAGACAAATCTTTGATGAAAGTGTTGTCCCATGCACAGTCATTTCTATTTTAAAAACAGAGAAGTGAGAAGAAAATAATCTGAACAAAATGTCTTTCCTACAAAAAAAAAAAAAGTTGTACTTTTTGCATGTAATTTCTCAAGGCAGAGTTTGGGTAACACAGGTAACAGTCCCTTGTTACAAAACTGCAATTCCTAACTGCAGAAACCATGTAAAGAAGTCATCTTCTGTGTAGGAGGACTGGCTCCATTCTCCTCCATTTGCCATTCCCCTGCAGTGAGCCACTCCGTGTGCAGGGACTGAGGCAGGCTTACAAAAGCAAACTGCTTCTCTGTTTCCCATTTAGTTATGTAACATTACCTTGTGGTTATTTGTGTTGCTGTGAAGAGCTCTGTACAGTACATCTCCTGTGTTCAACTTAGAGTGCTGCCAGTCCATAAGGTGTAATTACTCCAAGGAGAAATCATAGAATCACAGGGCTGGAAACGACCTGTAAGATCATCTAGTCCAACCATCAATGAATGAAGCTGCATCAAACAAATCCTGAAGGCAAATTTCAACAGGGTGGATAATTATCCCCTGGCTTTAATAAGTGCTTTCCTGGAAGCCTGTTTTGCAAACTGGCAGTGTGTATGTCATCCCTGCAAAAGGTGTGAGGGCATTGCTAACGTTTGGTGTGAAATGTGCCGCTGATACCATTGCAAATAATTTTCAAATGATGTATCGTTAAATTCAGCAGTGTGCCATGTAAAACTGAAGTGCTTTTCTGTTTGTGTCAATCAGAACCAAAAGGTCTGTCAGTGATAAATACTTTGCAAATGGAAATAATAAACATATCTTCTAGAAAATGGCTGTTTTCTCACGCATCTGCCCCTTTGTCTGTGTTATTCATGAAGCCCATCACCTATGCAGCATGGTTGGTTAAAGCAGTTGTAGATTTTGGGGTATGTTTCTGTGATGTCATAAAATCATAAAAAACTGTTACTTTTAGGTTTGATGAATTTGATGAGGCAATTGACGAGGCAATTGAAGATGACATCAAGGAAGCTGATGGAGGAGGTACGTTTCTCACGTTTGTTTTTCATTCTGGTGGTGGTATGAAGATTGAGACCAAATTTCTTTTGGTATGACAGGCAATGAATGGAGTCCTCTCCCTCACACTACACACGGTGTAATTTACAGTTCTTACTATTGCACTTTTAGGCTCACACTAAATAATTTCCCTTGGAAATGGCCATGCCAAGCTGCCAGAAGATGCCAAAAAGCATTTGGTGTTGATAGTTCAATTCAACTTGTACATGTTTTAATACGTGAATACAGTAAATAATCATGACAAGACAGTTTTTAAGATTAGTTCACTATGTTTTGAACTTGAGAGTTCAGCTAGCACCACTGACATCTAACACCTGTAAATATTGGGCTCAGAAACTCGTCCACCTTTGGACCCTTTGAAGGCTGGGTCTGCAGATACAGTCCTGAAGTGCTAATGCAGATCCGTGAGCACTTCCCAGTTATACATGAGTGAAATGCAGCTGCACTCGTTGCTGGTGAGGCACCACAGGGAACAGAAGAGAGATCTTCCAAAGTACCTGAGACTGATGAATCCGTGCTCTGCATCACGTTGGCTTTTGTGGAGACAACTGCTGTGAAACTTAATCCCTTCCTTACATGGCATCTCTACAGAGACAGCAGTTCTCAGAAGGCCAGCAGATGTATGCAGACAATCTGAAACTCAGGTGTCTGTGGTGTGTTACACAAGACCTTAATAAATGTAACTTAAATCCTCAACAGTAAAGCCAGCTTTTCTTAAAGTCGACTTATTGGCCAAACACCAGCTTAAACACTTCCAAAACTCCCAAGAAGAGCATGAAGGCCTTAGGAAGAAGATGTATGTTCTGCTATCTGCCCTACTCAATATCACTGGGGGACGATGTACTTTGTGGTTAAGTAGCAGAATGCCAACATTTACCTTCTGTCTTCTGTGTTGACCTCAGTGTTTCCCAGGGACCACAGCTGGGGCTGATTTGTCAGGAATGAGGCTCCAGACAGCATCAAAAAATGATTCTGTTACAGAAAATAATCTGAAGCAGGAGGCATGGAAAAAAGTTAGGAGCAAAATTAAACAAAAATAATCTTGTTCTTATTTTCCCTTTTCTGTCACTGAATTCAGGCATTGGCAGAGGCAAAGACATGTCTAACATCACAGGACATCGTGGAAAAGACATTTCTACAATCCTAGAGGAAGAAAGGAAAGAAAACAAGCGACCCCAAAGGGCTGCTGCAGCACGGCGCAAGAAACGACGGCGACTAAACGACCTGGATAGTGACAGTAACCTGGACGAGGAAGAGAGCGAGGATGAGTTTAAGATCAGTGATGGGTAAGTCTCCAGTTCAGCTTCTACCTCGAGTCACTGCCTGCTTCGGGTTTCTGTGACTCTGCAGTGCCCCTAAAGTGGTCACTGGGGGAATGTGTCCGGATCCAGAACGGCACTGTACAGTGCCAGCAAAAATACTCCTGGCTCAGTTGAGTTTAGTTGTGCTGGAAAAACTATGCTTCAAATCCATGTGCTGCAGTCATCCAAACTCCATTTTAAGCAAAACCTATCCTTAACAAAGATGCAGCTAAAGTGAGGCGGGTTCATTGAAAATATGTCCTGTTCTCTGGGATCTTTTTTTGGCCTGGTTGCCATTTTTAAATCAGAAAAGTAAAATTTCTCCATTTCTCCAGCATACAAAACTTGACTTTTGGGTTCTGGAATCGGCTCTTGCCTTTTGCTTTCTAAAATATAAGGTTTGAACACAGCCAAAGAGGGTTACACTGCAGAAAACAAATGTGTGTTATGCAAAGCTTCACAGACTGAATGAATATTGCTTTGGCTCACTGAAATTATTTTTCCCTGGAATTTCTAATCTTTCACACTGGGAAACAGGTAATGTTAAAAATAATAATTTTAGATTTTCTTTATGCCTCAATGAAGAGGCATAGTTGAGCTTTTAAAACTTTTAAAGCTTTACACAGTAAAACACTCAATGTACAAAGTTTATAGGTGACCTACACAACAGATGCAAATATCTCTTGAGCTTTGTTTTTCACATATGACCACATGAAGGAATTTTCAGTGACATGGTGAATAGTCAGGCAGAAAATGCTGAAAATATCCAACCTATGATCGGAGCTTTTGGAAGTCTCCCAGAATTAATAGCACATATGTCTATTAAATTGTGCTCAAGCATTTTCAGCTCAGTTCTTTGCTGAATACCTTCTGAATGTAATCCTGGGGTTTACATTCAGCTGGCAACCAAATGCGAGTGTCTGTGCACCTGCAGTGTTCCACTGTTCTTCTAAAAAAAGAACATGTTTTCCTCCCTCACAAGTGATGCTTGTGCAAAGGCGTTGCTATGTGAGCGTTACATTGAAGTGCACTGTGTGAACACTCTAGAATTTATCCAGTTTAAATCTCACCTGTGGTCACATTTTGATGTAACGTTCATATCCAGCCACTGTTCTGATCCACTGTGTAATGTCATGCATTGTAAAGCTGTCTTCCAAGAGTAAACAGAAGCTCTGTGTGGGTGATGGCAGTTTGCTCGCTCTGGATCTTCAGTACACATTGTTTCTGTGAGATCCGTGCAGTTTTGCTTTGCACCTAACAGAGGCAGGTTCATGGAGCTAACGTTTCGATTCTTTGTTTCAGATCTCAGGATGAGTTTGTTATCTCAGAGGAAAACCTGGACGAAAGTGAAGATGATCCACCGTCAAACGAAGACAGCGATTCCGAGTTCTGTGCCCGCATCTCCAGGAGACATCTCTCCAGGCCCATGAGGCAAAGCAGGCGGTTACGAAGGAAAACAGCCAAGAAAAAATATTCTGAAGATGATGAAGATGAAGATTCCGAGGACAATTCAAGCAGAGAATCTGGTGAGTATAAGTGGTCTTCTAAATGTATGGAATACTTTGTGCTGGAGAGAGGAAGAGTGGAAGTCTCAGTTTCCTGGCATGACATGGACACTAATGGTTTTGGTTCCTTTGGTCAAGTGTGTGTCATCTGTGCTTCTTGTCTGTAAAGCTGTTTGCTGCTTGTTCTGCTGTGAGTGTTCTAAAGGAAACTGTTCCTGAGTACTAGGTTCTTGGCATTTAAAATCAGTCCATATTTAAATGTGTGCTCCTGTTATGTTGTGTCTCACTGTGTTTACAGAGAGAGTGGTGAGGTGCTGGAACAGCTGCCCAGAGAGGCTGTGGATGCCCCGTCCATCCCTGGAGGTGTTCAAGGCCAGGCTGGATGGGGCCCTGGGCAGCCTGGTCTGGTATTAAATGTGGAGGTTGGTGGCCCTGCATGTGGCAGGGGGTTGGAGCTTCGTGATCCTTGAGGTCCCTTCCAACCCTGGCCATTCTGTGATTTTGTGATCTGTTTGGATCATGATTGCAGGGAATACAAAGGATGGAGGCAGAAATATTCTTCTTTCTATGTACTTAAAGACCTCCTGAAAAACTTAAAAATCCTCTTCTGAAAGAAGCATTTTTCCTCACTTTGTGTAGAAAACTTAATTCCTTCAGCCGCAGTCAGTTTTGTGTGGCATTCAGTTGTTAGAGCTCAGTTACCTTTTTAATGTTTTCTCTGTAGATAAATTGTAATTGTAAATTGTAGGTAAATGTTTTCATTGAATGTAGACAGGATCATGTTGAAGTAGGTTGATTTGAAGTTCTGGCTTCCAGAAGGAGGGTTAATGCATGAACAGATCAAGATAGTCACATGCACTTGCACTAGTTGCTGTCTTCCTGTCCTGAACGCATCACTGCACTAAATGTGAGCGGTTAGTAATGAAGATATTTGCAGAACCTTGAAGATCCAGAGAATTTGGCCATCTACTCCGTAATGCCTACAAGCAAGTTTGTTTCTTTGTGAACACGTCTGCGAGAAGATCAGGCCCCGTTCTGTACCACCAGAAGCATCCTGTTTCAAAAAAGAGCAGGAAGAGGAAACACAGAATGCAGTGTAGTTTTCTTACTTTTGCAGCAAAGAGTTGGTTGGTAGAGCCTTGCCTCACTGATTCCAACGTAATTCCTTAGATGTATGACTGCATATTCATAGCTGTTCTTCTTTACCTCTGTTGCTGTCCTCAGGATCCTGCCTGAGCTCTGTTTTGAGTTAAAGAAGTAATGTTCCTGTGAGTGTTGTCAGTCTCCAGAGATGGGAGCTTTTTCTGAAGGCAGTGTTTGGTTGCCTGGCTGTGACCCCTTCTGTAATATTTTAGGAGGTAAAGAGGATTGCTGCTTCGATCTGTCCCTGGTGTCAGTCAGTAATTTAAGAACAGCATGGATTGCATATAGGAATGTACTGTGATCTCAGGATAATTGCTCTGGCATGGCTCAGTGAAAAAGCAGCAGAAGTTGACTCAGAGCTGATGTTGACTGTTAAAAATGTAAATACATTCAATTCTCAAAGCCAATAGGTGCAGTAGTCCGGTGCAGGAAGAACTGAGAATGATGGTAAGTTTCTTCTCCATAGTTTTTGTTGGAAGTGAACTTTTAAGCCTAGATTTGTTGTAAATCATTTAAAACTCCCAAGCCAGATCTTACCTGGATTCTTGTTTTGTTTCTATTCATCTACCTGTTCTGAGAATAATTTGAGCAGAGTGCAATGCATTTAAATTGAAAAAAAAATGAAAAAAAGAAGGGGCTTTCCTGGACATGGGAATGTATGTCATTGACTCAGGTCACTTCAACTGTCAGGAATTGTAGAGGAAGCATCTTTGGCACCAGTAGATATGAGGGAGCGAAAACATGGGAAGAAAACTTGCTCTGGGGGAGATTGATGGGGAAGAATTTGTGTTTTAAAAGTAAGCAATTCGCTGCTGGCAGCGAAAGGGAGAAGTAATGTGTGAGCCTGGGACAGGTCAGGCTAATGAGGGGTGATGGCTGAGACTCCTCTGCTGGAAATGTGCCTGGTTTTATCTGCGCTGGTCTAAAGCTTATCTAAATAGCGCAGTTTTGTCTTCATGGAATAACAGACACAGCTGTTTTCTTCTGTACAGAGAGTGGTGATTACACGGATTACAGTGATGATGATTACCTGGAAACCAGGAGGAGAAGATCAAGAAGGAATCAGAAGAGGCAAGTCAACTACAAGGAGGATTCAGAAAGTGATGGCTCTCAGAAAAGTGTCCGATATGGCAAGGAGTTGAGAAGAGTTCATAAACGCAGGCTCTCCACTTCAGATAGTGAAGGTAAAGCACACAGTCTGATCTGCAGGAGCTGGTGTGTGTCTGCATTAGCCTAAGGAGAAAACTGTGTCTAATTCAGAGATGCCCAGAAAATTTTCATTCTAGAGTTCCTTGATGTTTCTCAGAAACTCGTTTCCTTGTGAAGCGGCCCACTGTGTGATGTGCCATTATGGTTACTCCTCAGAGTCACTGTCCCTGCTTTGGCCTCACAGGGTCTGACTTTACTGTGTCTGGCAATGAGTGGTGGCATTTCGAAGCTGTAATTGATGTCACTGTTTTGCCACTTCCCTGTTAAGAGGCCACAAAGCCTTCTCCACGAATGCTCAAAGATTCTTTTTTGCCTTCTGGTGCCCTGATTGTTTTCATAGGTCGGTGTGCCACCCTACCTTCCTCTGTGATCGTTCAGCCTTTTCCAATGCAGCCTCCTGTTTGAAGGTGCTGCAATCAGTGCAGGTGTGTATGACAAACAGAAAACCTGCTCGCAGTACTGTCAGTCACTCCATGAGCCACTGATGTGTATTTAAATACCAAATTAGCTTGTGCAAACACAGCCACTGGCTTTGGGTCCTTTGAATTCTGGTGCCCAGCTCATGAGAACCATCTGTTTGGCACTGATGTGCCGAACTTTACAGGTTGCAGTGGGTGCCAGGGCACCTGTAGGTAAGTTTTGGAAGTGCTGGCCTGAGTCTGTAAAATGTTACAGGATCCTCTTTCATGAAGGGAAGCAAGTATGTAATGCAGTCGTATGGTATCTTGAAAACTTGATCTCATTCTTCAATATACAGTCTGTTCTCAGAAATAGGATATATAGGCTGTCCACTCACAATCTGCTATATGGTGGCTGATTTTTTTCTTTGCTGCCTGCACTTGTGACTTTAAACAGTGCCTGATTGATGGTGTCTTTTGTACATGAAAACCCATTCCTTCAGGTATTTTTGGTACTGGCTTTTTGCATACTAAACCCAATGCCATTTAGTACCATTCCAGTAGTTTCCCACGGTTCTAATGTATAAAGTGTGTAACAGTCACTGGAAATGTAATTACGTTGAAAATACTCTGACGAAGTCTCTAGCAACCTGAACCTACACTGATAATACCTTTAAAAATGGCAATTTGTGTGCGTTTCTAATGGAAATAGCAAGGAGAAAGCCAGTGGTGGTTGATTTTTCAGTTTGTCTTTTTTCACTTAAGCCACTTTGCAAAGAAAAGGCCTTCCACTGAGGGACAGCAGCCTTCCAGTCACATTCAAACAGTGTTCATGACTTGAAAGAAGTCCTGTAGAATTTGGTGAGGGGAGGAGAGTACGGTTGAGTGCATGTATATATATGTATGTATATATTTTTGAAGGCAGTGCAGCCATTATTTCATAGAAGCATAGAATATCCCATGTTGGAATGGATCCGTGAGGATCACCGAGTCCAAGTCCTGGCTCTGCAGAGGGTCCTCACTTTCTGGAAGGCTGTAAAGTTGTGCTATTCCTGAGGCAGTTAGCGCTCCTAACTTCTAGCAGAAGCCTCCAAAGCCTCCCGTAACGCTCAGGCTGAGGGCAGAATACCAACAGATTGCTGGACTCTGCCGTTTGAGCAGTTTCTTCAGCATGTGAGAAGTATGCAAGAGTTTTGACGTGGTTGGGGGACTGAGGAAGGAGACCGAAATGTGTGTGCTGAGAGACAGGGAGAGATGGCGTTTTGATGAGTGTAAGTCATTAAAGAATAGGAGTGTAGCTGTTCCGCGTGCCCTCAGATTTGCTAACGGCTTTAAGTCTGCTGCTTGTTCCAGAGAGCTACGCGTCCAAGAACTCCGAAGATGACGATTCCACAAAGGAGTCGAAGCGACGGATTCGAAAGCGTCGGCGAAGTACGGATGACTACTCTGAGGAAGGAGAGGATGAGGAAGATGAAGAGAGGCCTGTCCGCAAGCGGCTCAATAGAATTGAAACAGACGATGAAGATAACTGCGAAAATGCAAACGATGAGGCAGAAAACCCTGCAAATAAGCTGCCGGCACCACAGGCTCCTCAAGACAACACCAAGAAGCACTGCTACCGGATAGAAAGTGACGACGAAGATGACTTTGATAACGTGGGGAAAGTAGAGAGCCCTTTGGACTACAGCCTGGTGGACTTGCCTTCCACCAACGGACAGAGCCCAGGTAAAACCATTGAGAACTTGATTGGCAAACCTAGTGAGAAGACCCAAGCCCCCAAGGACAGCACAGCCAGTGCCAGCCTGGCGCCCAACGGGACGGGGAGCGGGCAGGAAGTGGTAGGGCCAGAGGAAGATGAAGATGAACTTTTGAGAGTGACTGACCTTGTTGATTACGTCTGTAACAGTGAACAGTTATAAGACTTCCATTTTTGTGCTAATTTATTCCACGGTAGCTCATACCAGCGGGCCAGTTATTAAAAGCTGTTTTATTTTTCCTAGAAAATTCTCCACTACAGTATCACTTTTTAGAAGCAAGAATTTCACCAGTCCTGCAGTCTTTCTGTGAAGTGACCAGTTTTGAACTTTGAAGAAGAATTGCTGTAAATTCCCTCTCTTACCCCCCTTTCTCCTTCCGAGTCCATGGTCCTGGGTAATTTCACTCACAAATACCTTATCACAACAAGAGATTTGTATATTTTTGGCTTTATATTTCCTGAGTGCATACAAATTTGTGGAAATGGGTGGCCTAAGAAAGCATTCCAAATCGGTCAGGGCCCAAACCGAAATTGGGGTGGGTTTGGCTCAAGGGGTGGGCGGGGTGCAGAAGCACTTGTGCTTTAGCTTTTTCATATGAGATATATATTATATTTAAATGTTCACAACTTAGATTACAACTTAACAGACAGTCTCAAATTTAACGTCTGTACTGTCGCATTTTGTGAGTTGTAGGTTAACATGCCATAGCTCATTAGTAATCACCTTCATGGAAGCAGTTTGATTTTAATACAGGAGGCAAACAGAATTACTAGAGGCCGAGAAGGTACCATAAACAAGAACTCTACTATCCATTATGACTTGCAGACTTTCCTAATAAACATCCTTTAAAGTGTTTGTACAGTAAAGTGTACTGTAATGAAGTTTTTGACAGTTGAAACACGCTAGCAATGAATTTGCAAAGCTATTCCCATGCGTAGTTCATCAGCTGGTCTTCTGTGCACGGTGTCCAGTGGGAGGACGCAGCGAGGCGAAGCTGGTCTGTAAGCAGGATGGCATCTTGGCGTGCTGTAAACTTTTACAGACAAAAGAATCCTGCAGCAGCTGCCTGGCCACTTGGGTTTCACCTTCCGTTGGAGCATTCGGAATGGAACGTGTCTGTACAAACTGCACTGACCACAGAATTGCAGCGCTTCAGAGGATGGAGGGATTTTCCAATAAACCGTGACTGGTCCATTCATGTCCTTAGTATCTACTTCAAATTGAAGTAAACAAATGGAACAGTTTTCCTTTTGGAGGTTTTCTGTTTGGGGTTTGTGTGTGTTTTTGTTTTGATTTTAGTTATCTGCCTGGATGTATTAGCAGGTTTTGAATGTAGTGTTGGCCTTTGGCCATTAGAATTTTCTTAAAATACATTTTAATAATTGTCATGTGACCAAACTGATTTCAAGAAGGCAGTATTTCTGAGAGAAAACACTCGACTCCAAGACGTCTCATCAACTTTGGAGTGGGCCTGAGGTGATGTGTGCTTTCATTATAAAAAAAAGGAGACTACAAACAAAACCAACAGACGTGGGCACATAAGAAAGAGCAGAGCTGACATTTGCTTTGGGTGGTGTTGAGTTTTCTCTTCATTTGGAATTAAGATGCAGGCTGTAGCATTTGTACATGTTGTAGCACACAGCTGAAAAAGATCTGCCAAACGTTGAAATCCAAGGAGGTCACATCTGTTACTCCTTTTGCTCTGAGATTTGGATTTTTGACTGGTGTTGATGTCCATTGCCGGCAATGGACGCACCGAAACTGCTGCTGCCACTGAGGAGTGAGTTCTCCTTTCCTGCCCCACCTGATTCCCTTCCATTATATTGTATTTCCTAGTCAGTCATGAAGCACTTCTGTTTTCTTCTACTAAAACCGGCGTTAGGCCTTTACTAAATACCTCTCTAGAGTACCTACACCCCAAAACATCTACTTCTGGCCTGGAAAGTCTTGGTTTTGTTTCCCCACCTGTCTCTCCACGAGTTCAATCAGAACCACTCCGTGACTGTTACTCGATTGGGTTCTAGCAGTGCACACCTACAACTAGAATCGTCAGAGCTGCAAGAAAGACAGAACTCGTTCATTGCCTGCTGCTAAGCAAGCTTGTGATTAAGAAAAAAAAGAGAAATCACACTCTTTCTAAATGAGAACTGAACATCATTAAAGATTACATATCTTTCCACCTTACCAATGCTAACTGTTAACAGATCTCACAAGCAGGTATTAAAACAGGGTTTAGAATGTTCTTGTAAGTGTATGTAGCATTTTAGCTACTACAATGTTTTTCTTTGCCTAGGTGATGCATAAATGCAGTGCTCCATTTCTAGTATACTTGTGTTTTATAACAAGTAAGAACACATGGCGTCCACTTTCTAATGTTAATAATTGCTGAGCATTCTTACTATTTGCAGTGCAAACTGTCTTGATTCCCATGCAGTGACACTGTGCAGTCAGTGACTCCTCATTTATTTTGGCAGTGCCATCACCTTTTCTGCTGCCACGTGGAGCCTTTTCCTGTCTGATCAGTGCCGTAGCAAACGTTCTTGTAGTGGGTGAGTCATTGTGAATGTAGGCAAATACAAAGCAGTTAAAACAGCAAATATACCAACCAGGAAGAAATTGAGCACCGTGTTCAGGAGTGACGTAGCGGAGCAGAAAGCAGAAGTGAAGCACTGAAGTTTATGTCAAGAGCATCAAGTTTAACCAATGTGGACAGACAGGTTGTTACTTTCTATTGGTGGGTTTTAGAGAACAATTCTCTGTCTTCTGAGAAGTCACCTTCGGTAGCCGGGATATTTCATCCCTTGGGATCCCAGGGTCCCGTTAGTCCGTTGGGAATATTGTGCAAGGAAAATCTGCCTAGATGTTCTACAGAGCCCAGGATTTTAAAACTTCCATTTCCTCTCCTGTCTAAGGCTTCCAGCATGGTCGGAATGTGAATCTGTTTGGCAAGATGTTTTCAGACACAAGGCCGGCTGGCTGCCATGTGTGGCTCTGCTGTCGTGTCACGTGTACGTGATCCCAAGTGGGATCCTCCAGGTGTTGTGGTGTCCTTAGCAGCTTGTGCTCTCCTGGATGCATCGTGAGATCAGAAGTCACGTCTTTGACTGCTCATCTTCAGGCGTGGCTTTGGGCAAACAGAAATTCAGGGTGTGCAAGGAACAGAACGCATTCTGGCCAGGGGTTTATCACACAATGGACTGGGCAGCAGAAGAAGGAGCACCTGTTGGCTGAGCTGTGCTTTGCACACAGGTTGACACCGAAAGCTGTGTCTTTTTTAACTGCGGACCCTTCAGAGTATAACTGATGAGGAAGAAAGGGAACTGGTTTCTGTGCGTTTCGTGAGTCTTAAGAAGCACTGGAGAAGGGAAGGAACTGTAAACTGAGTTGAGGAATGGACGTTTTTGGGTGCCACAAAGATAAAGGATGGCTTTGCCATGAGCATGGGATGGATGTGCAAAGTAGGGCCACTCTGTGCTGAGGAATGCAGAGCGTTAAACCAACCAGAAGGGTGGGGAATTAAGAAGGCAAAATTCCATTGCGGTTGCTGTCTTCTGGTTAGATACTGAATCTTCTAAACCTTCATTTAAAAATGGAAAACAACATCACTAAGCTACCAAAAAAAAAAACCCATAATGTTGAAAGCCTGTAGAAAGACGAGTACTGAACAACAAAGTCTCTGAGCTCTTAGATAGTTTGATTTCCTACATGTCAAATTACCTTATAAAATTACTGTATCTTCCTGATTCATTTAATGAAGCGATTGTTCTGTTCTAATGGCACTTGGGAAAAACAGAGATGCTTTTTCTCTAAATTGCTCATGTATAAATATGTCACCTCGAGATTTCTGTGCATTGAAACCTCTCGATTGCTCTGCAGGCAGTGGGAGCTGATGAGTGAAGCTCTTCTTTCCTGGTCACTGCTGTTTTCTGAGTGCTGGCCTGCACTCTGAGGGGTCCCACTCAAAGAACCTTGAGGCAAAAATGTATGTTCACAAAAGAGAAACTGTATGGTAGCAGTGCTCTTCTCCTGGTTTGTCTTCATGCTTCTCACTTGAGCTGTTTGGTATCTGTGCAATGGTTTCAGTAGTCCATTGTCAGGGTGTCCATTGCACAGCTTTGTTTTCAGGTGCTTACAGCTTGGTTTTCAATGCTCTGCAGTAGGAAGGCCTGGTCGAAACTTTCAGCAAGTTGTTTCAAATTTCTTATTTTCATCATTTTTCTTTTTTTTTTTTCCATGGGAAGTAAATGAGGAATTTTGGTGGCAAGGGATTTGTGTCATCTAGTTCAAAATGGCAACGCATGGGCCTTGAGAATTGGTTTTGGTCCGTGTGCAGTGAATGCTATCCACAAGCTCGTGTTAAGCATCCAACCTGCAGCCTTGGATATGTATTTAGGTTTGCTTTCAGTTCACTGGGTATATAAAATCCTTTCGTGTATAAATGTATGTACAAATATCAAATGTCTTCAAACGGTAACTTTCTGGAAAACAAAATCTGTTGGATATGGTGGGGAGATCTCCAGCAATTCATGCAGAAAGAGCACAGCACTGCAACTCCTCTAGTGTTTAAACCATCTATGGGAGCAGTTAGGACTGCTGTCTGCAATGTGCGGCATGAAGCCCGCGTTTCCTGGGATCTTTTCCTCCTCCCCTTCTAGAACAAGTGGGGTAGGGACGATATCAATATGTCAGAAGAGAGAAAATGAAACAACAACAACAACAGAAACAGAACTTATTATCCAGCATATATTGAAGCAATTGCAATCCTCAGTGGCCACTTTGCGATGCTGTAGAGTTGGGGATCTCACGGAACACTGGCTTCAGAAATGCTTATCCCTGCAGCTGGACACACAGCAGTCGGGGTACTGAGGATTACTGGTCATTTCTGAAAACGTGCATCACTTACCAAGCTCTCATTTTAGGTTAGGTATAACTCATGAGATCGTTCCAAATGGCAGAAGCGTGTGCTTGGGAGTTGTTTGTCCCAGTGCTTTGGAATAATTTAACTTATTTTGTATATTGCAGAAGATGTATATTGCTTAGTATGACACTTACTTTAAAAAAGAAATGTGTACAGCTTCTGGAGGAAAGAATAGGACACTCTTAAGTAGAGAAGAAGTTTTTATAATTGAGGATGTGGTGTAAAGGCTCCAGGTATAACTGCGATTAAAAGCAAGTCCCACAGCTTGGGTTTTTGACTGTCGTTTTGTAAATGCTGACACTCCGCACCTGAGCTTGTGATCAGGAGAGGGGATGATGATACAGAAGTTAGAGAGGACACGTGCTTGATGAAGGCAGGTGTGTCTGCAAATAGATCTACTATTGCTACGTATAACCCCAAAGGTTACTAAGGAAAACTGAAAGATAGAGTTGCTCTATTCCTTCAGTTGGTTTACTTTGTGCACTTGGCAGCACTTTGTGTATAGTCAGTCTCACTGGTTCCCCAGGTGCAGACCGAGTTGGTTTCTCCTGCTGTTGGAACGCTCTTTCCATTAACAGGAGATGGGGAATGGGTGGAGGGAAGCAGAATGGGAAAATGCGGATGCAAGCCCTTGCAATTTGCAAGATGGGTCTTGGACAGGCCTGAAAACTGCTTCTGATTTGCCCTTTAAAGACTGTACTTCAAATGGAAGGTCTCCGTGTGGAGAATCATCTTGACACCCCCTTTTCTCATCGTGACCTTCAGAGCAACAGGCAAAGCTGTTCACAGTCTCTTTCCTTGAGAGCAGTTCCACCAGCACAGCGTGGCGTGGAGAAGATTAGGATCAGTAGAGCACTGTGACAATGTTTGCCTTGGGGATGTTGGTTGGAGTCCACGCAGGTTCCTTTGTCCTATGTTCCTCTTCTTACGTCCCACACGACTAAACTGATTAGTGATACTTAGATTAGTCTGTCAGAACTTGACTTAAATGATCCTGAGGGGATAAAGTCCTTTTACTAAAACATGCAATAGGCCTCATTACCAGTGCACCGTTTGTTAGTTAAAAGTCCTTAACAGATCTGCTACTCAAGTTAGCGGTAGAAGAGGAAATCAAACCATAGAGCTATATAGCTTGTTTATTTTTCCATTTCATACTCATTATATGGACTCTAAAGTCTTGTACAGTATCTGATGCCTATGCTGTATTCATTACAATGGTACTCCTCCCCCTAACCTGCATTAACACGATTTGTTTTTCATGCCAGTCAGGTTGCTAGTTGCTGGCCCTGCTTCATAGATCTGCGGCAGCCATGAGATGGCATTCAACTGATTCAAACACCTGATGTCACCGCTGGCAGTGTGATGATGTTCTCAAATAGGAGCAGAGTTTTAGGTGGATGCTAGACAAGCGCTGGGTGTATTCACAGTCCCAGATAGCGTAGACCAGGTAATTGCTAGCAGAACGGCTGTCCTCCAATTC